GTAACAGAACAACTTACGCCTAATTCTAAGTACTTCGCCAAATTCCATCTGTCTCGGGTGAAATGAATATTCATGTACACGAGTTCATCACGTAATCATGTCACTGCCATTGAGACAACCGTATGAAAATTGCGCGTCGTTTTGCGATAATTTGCTTTCAGCTGACGTCCATGTGGATCTCACAATTTCGCATTTAAGTACTGTACTTCCAAAGTAGGCGGCGGAGCATAAGTTTTTGCGGAGCTCAAGATCATCCCTTTTTTTTGTTATAAAAAATAACAGTCTTCAAAGTACCAAAGAGTGGGGAAAAAGGATCGCAGACTTTTATCTGTGTACCTGTGGCTTTCCCAGGGCATTCCCGAAAGGGGATAAAAAACGCTCGCATATTATACTTGAAAATTGTTGTATTTCTAAAATCCCGACATCATATCCCGAATTTTCTTATAAAGACTCCCAAAATCCTCTTGGATCAAGCGTCGAAACGAAAAGAAATATTTTCCCAGATTGAGGCAGCAAAATTGAACTAATGGTTCATGTTGTTTAAGTACATTTAACTTCCAAATTTGTGTGTCGGTGATAAGAAAGAAGCAAAAATACGTCGACTTCAAGAGATGAGAGAGTCGAGAAGAGCTTGAAAATTGGCTTTAAAATACGATCCAGACTCTCAATTGGATGCCTTTATTAATTTAAAAATCTTTTTTTTAATGTTCGAAGTCTCCATGCAGTTACGTTTTTTCAACCTTTTCTTGAGGAAAATCAATTTGTTTCCCTTTTTCATTGGATTGAGGCGTTTTCGTATCGATCATTAAAACATTTAAACGGTGCTGTCAGTTGACATGAGACTAACTCCTATTTTTACGTTAGTCATTTTGTGCCTGATTTATTTCCGGATTTTTGGCTGTTTCTCAAGGTTTTTTCTTTTTCTCCTCGGAACTGTTACTTTGATTTAAAAGCAATCTTCACAGAACCTTCATGGTGAGGATTGATGCTCTTTTTTTCTCTTTTTTTCGACAAATTTGTATACTCGTTTTTTTTTTTTTT